CTGTCTCAAAAAAAAAAAAAAAAAAAAATTCAAATCGAATAATTTGAACCTAGCAAAAATAAAAAATAAGCATAGTGTAAATGATATAAAACTTTCACATGGCTAGGCACAGTGGTTCACGCCTGTAATCCCAGCACTTTGCCAGGTAAAGGTGACAGGACTGCTTGAGACCAGAATTTTAAGACCAGCCTAGGCAACACAGAAAGGCCTATCTCTCAAATATAAAAAATTAAAAAATTAGCTGGGTGTGGTGGCATGCACCTGTAGTCCAAGCTACTCAGGAGGCTGAGGCAGGAGGACAAGTATCACTTGAACCCAGTAATTCAAGGTTAAAGTTAGGATGGGGCCACTGCAATCCAGGCTGGGCAAGGAGTGAGACCTTATCTCAAAAAAACAAATGAACAAACAAAAAGCCTTTCATGTATTAATCAAATAAAATGTGCTTTTAAAAAGAAAACTGTAAATATAGAATAAATACATTTTTAAAAAATACAAGAAAAATGTCTAATATCATTTGAAATCAACACATCATTTTATTTGGCAAATAAGAGTACTGTTTTATAGGTTACAACAATCCTTCAGGTTTCAAAAAAGCAAGAGTTGTTGCCAAGGCTTTTTTTTTTTTTTTTGAGACAAGAGTTTTACTCTGTTGCTCAGCCTAGAGGGCCATGGTGGCAGCCTAGCTCACAGCAATCTCAAAGGCTGGGCTCAAGTGATCCTCCTGCTTTAGCCTCCCAGGTAGCTGGGACTATAGGTGCCTGCTGCAATGCCTGCCTAATTTTTCTCTTTTGAGTAGAAAAGAGAGGGGATCTTCCTCTTGCTCAGGCTGGTCTGGAAATCCTGAACTCAAGGGATGCTCTTGCCTCAGCCTGCCAGAGTGACAGGATCATAGGCACGAGTCACTGCACTCAGCCTCCAATTTTTTTTTTTTTATAATTTGAAAGCAACTTTAAAATTAAATTTAAAATTTTTGTCATAAAAGTATCAAAACGTATAGATAATGAAAACCATCTATATTCACAACACCTAGAAAAACCACTGTGTTTAGTCTATGTCCTTTCAGAATTTTTCTTTCTGCTTATTTCCTGTATGGATTAATATATATAAAACTGTGTACAAAAAAATGAATTTATGTGTCTATCAACCTGGTTTTGTTACCTAACTTGTAACATTGTCACTGTACATCTTTATCAACATGTTCAATTATTTTCTTTCTTTCTTTTTCGAGACAGAGCTGCAAGCTATCACCTTGGGTAGAGAGCTGTGACATCACAGCTCACAGCAACCTCAAACTCTTGGGTTTAAGCAATTCTCTTGTCTCAGCCTCCCGAGTAGCTGGGGATTACAGGCACCTGCCACAACGCCTGGCTATTTTTTGGTTGTAGTTGTCATTGTTGTTCGGTAGGCCTCAGGCTGGCTTCAAACCTACCAACTCTGGTGTATGTGGCCTTAGCTGCTTGAGCTACAGATGCCACCACTAATTATTTTCTTCAAAGAGATTCTTGACTGCATAATTGCAAGATCAATATATTTGACATTTTGTCACGCATACTAATGACTCTCCCACTAACACTGCATAAAAGCACTTGGTAACCTGTATCTTTATAAACTCCAGATTTATTAATCTTTATAGTTTCTGCCAATCTGAAAGGCAATTTTAACTCATATTTCATAGACTATTAGAGATTGAAGTTTTAAAATACATTTGTCATTCATTTTAAATTCTACTGTTATGACATCTGATGGCTCACATCCTTCTGCACATTTCTATAGTAATCTTTTTCTTATTCTTGTTAATTTGTTCTGACTTCACATATCAGGACTATTAAGACTTTTTCATTTATTCTGCAAATATTCCTTACTAATTTGTCTTTCATCTTTAAAATTTGCTTTGGTTAAGTTTTTACCTTTGTATGATCTTTTCTCTATAGTTAACTATAATAGTTCCTTGGTTTGGTATTAGGCTTAAAAGATTCTTCCATATCTCCAATAGTAAGATTATTCATTAAAATTTATTCTATTACTTTCTGTGGTCTTTAAAAATTATTTAAATCCTAATCCATCTGGAATTTGTTTTACTATAAGTAATGGAAAGGGACCTAACTTCTCTTTCTCTGAAATAACAAAACAATTTTATCAATATTTTTTACTCAATAGTTTGCACTTAGGTGAAACATCTTTTATTATGTAACAAATTTTCTAAATGCTTAGATGTTATACAGGACAGTACAGAGACTGTTCTGGAACACAGACCTGTGTAACTCTCTTCTACCTTTCAAGTTCTATGCTGTACGTTTCTCTTTTGCTGGTATTTGTAAAATAAAATTATAGAGGAAGATAGGTTGCAACACGGTTAAAATAGGAATGGATTAATAAATGTAATTAAATGATAAAAATGTAGTCTGAATCCAATAAAAGTTTTAGGCAAAAAGAGAAAAGACATTAAAATCAAAGTTATTAAAATCAGAAAACTATTTGAAATTTTATATTTGTATTAGAATTTGATGCAATTTCTCATCTCAAAAAATTATCTTTAAAATTGTGAAAATACTTTAAAAGGCAAAAAACAGCATGTAAAAATTAAGTTACTTTTATTATGGAGTACTGGCAAAGATAAAATTCATTAATGTATTTATTTCCTTTAAAATTCAGAACTTAAATATACTAAATAGTGCACTTAATTACAAGAGGTTTCTAATGGGGCTACACTGTGATATTTTATCATGTTGCACTTAGGTTTTTTTTTTTTTTACAGATTTGATATTGTATTTTAATCTACAAAAGAAAAATTCAAAACCATCAAATAATTATACCAACTTCAAAGATGAAAAAAAACAATTACCTATTCCAACATGTGCTTCTTGTATCATGCTTACATCATTAGCACCATCACCAACAGCCAACGTTATAGGCTTTTCAGGTGAGATTTTTATCAGTCTTATTACCTGAAAGACAGCAATGAATTAGTTCTTTATACATAATTGTGTAAAAAATAACTGCACTGAATTGAACTGTTAGACAAAATATTTTTCTCAAAATTTTTTTTTATTTAATATAGAGGAAATATAATTTTTACCTGTAATAAAGTTAACAAATTAAAGAAAAATCAGATTAAATTCAATGGAATCAAAAGAAAGGTCTCTTTGGAATTCTTGAATACAGTTTTACAAAGAACCTAGCTAGGCAGTTTTAGTCTCCAAAGACTGGAGTACATTAGTTATACTACAGGCACCGTAGCAAAATCCTATGTAGCCAAAACCGTTCTGAAGGAGTAATTTATTAGACCTAGATATGAAACAGTTGGTATATAGATATGCATTGCAAAAGATATTTACGAAAAATATAATCTAAGATCTCAAATTCCAAATTTGGAACTGCAAAAATGTTTATATATGCTTTTCATGGAATCACAGGTAGCTGAAATTTAAACACTTCCTTCACATTATAAGTTAAGTGGCTTTTCAACTTTTTACTAATGTTCTACTTCTCACTTTTAACAAAGAAATCACCATTTTATAAGAATGAAAGAATAAATACAGATCATTAGAACCATCTGAAGGCGCAGATGAATGGAAGTCTCCTCGGCTCTTTTGCTAGGTAACTAACTTATGTAACGTGGTTATTATAGTTTAAATTTGTATTTCAGCAAAACTACAAATATGCTACCCATGACAGGCTTTCTAAGTCATTATAAATAGTTGAAACTTTAATGTTCACTCTGAGAATTCCAATTTTACACACTTAAAATTCATTAATACAAGAAGTGACTAACTCCAAGTAAAACTCCAAATGTGAGGTATTAACCTTAAAGAACATTTTTAGAAGTATATATCTTTATCAGGCTTTTTATAAAATATACATACTTTTGCTTTCTGCAATGGTGCCATACGACAGCATAATACAGCTGAACAATTTCTGCAAACTTCCATAAATAGTTTTTCATGCTCCCTGAGTGCAAGAGATAGGCTGGTCCCATCCACTACTAGCCCATGCTGAATCACATGATCTTCTGTAATTCTAAGAGAGAAAGTAATAATATCCTCTGTAAGACATTTTGAAGCTGTGTTACTTATACTAATATAAAAAGATTCCTACTGAAAGATTGATCGTTCACCCACAGACCCTTCTGTTAAAAGTCTGATGTTAGCAATCAAACACAGTCATATTACCTAATGAGATTAAGATTAAGCAGAACCGAGTGTCACTGATACAGACTGAACAGATGATATTCAATTTTGCAATGAACTGATATGTAGATACAGTAATTATATTTTTAAAAATATGAAGTGTAAGATATACTCTCATGATATTCTTCCAAACTGCATGAAAAGTCTTTTTACAAAAACAAAAACATTAAGCAAATTCTACTAATTTGAAAAAATTAAATGAAATCAAGAATGTTCAGGAAAATCCATGAGCTAGATTCATCATGTATGAATAGGAAAGACAAAGTGGAAGGAATGGGTACCATCTTTTGATATTGGCCTAGATGATGGACTGTGACACCAGACATTACTACTGTGGAACACGGGTGCCCTTCTTGGGGGTGTGTGCTACACGCGTGCTGCTCAAAGCACAAGCTGACTACTGCCAGCTGGGCAAACTACTTATTGCTGGGAAGCGATAAGGACTGTGCACTAGTATGTAAATCAACCAAATCACTAAATACACTATTTTATTCAACTGTTTTTTTCCTCGACCCCCTTTGGTAGTAAGACTTTCTTGATGAAGAAAGTCACACATAGGTCTATATTCTGGTGCAAGCTCCTTTCTGTTGTGGAAAGTGACAGCTGTCACAAGGAATGCCCTGCAAGTTCACACTCTATACCCTACTACTGAGACAGGCCTTCATTTTCAAATTAGAAGTGAGAAGTCCATTAAATGAGCAATAAACTATAAAAGTTAAACATATATTGATAGATTTTAGTCTCGTAATAGAAATTTTTTTCACCAAGTTAAAGTGGTGTCTTTCATGCCTAATCACTCTTGTGTGGCAACTAATTCAGTTTACATCACAAAAATTATTTATTTGTTTATTTATTTAAGACAGAGTCTCAGTTTGTTGTCCCATGCTAGAGTGCTATGGCCTAATAGCTCGCAGCAACCTCAAACTCCTGGGATCAGGTGATCCTCTTGCCTCAGCCTCTCAAATAGCTGGGACTACAGGCACCCTCCACAACACCTGGCTAATTTTTCTATTTTTAATAGAGATGGGATCTTGCTCTTACTAGTGCTGGTCTCAAACTCCTAAGCTGAAGCAATCCATCTGTCTTGGCCTCCCAGAGTGTGAGGAGGACAGGTGTGAGACACCCGCCTAGCCCTTACAAAACTTTAAAAATTGATTTTTCTCTCCTTTATTGAGCCTCCCATATCTGAAACCAACACCTATGTTGACTACATTTTTCTTTTCTACTGTCCAAACTTTAGCAGCCTGTTCCAGCTGCTGGAACAATGTCTTCCTGCATGCCCTAAGCATAGGGTGACCAGATTTTAATATTTGTAAAGCGGGACAAGATGGCTGGTGGGGGGAACGCAGCAGGGCAGGTCCTGACAACAGTGCAAACTTTGATAAGCAGTTCTCGATAATCACTTCTCAACAATTACTTGTAATTATTACAGTTTAACATTATAAAATTAATAAAAATAATATAAAACTCATATTCTGGCGAAATAGCCACATAGCAGCCAAAAACCGTATATTCCCTTCCTGTTCTCCTGCCCGTTCAGTGCATTCTTTCCAAAAATCGGGACTTTTTAAAAATACCATGGGATGTGGGACAAATTGTTCAAAAGCGGGATGTCTGGTCACCCAACCTAAGCAGTGCCAGGGCAGCATGCCTCAGAAGTGACAGCAGCCAAGACTGGAACCTATGAGTCTTCTAGGGAATCTATAAGGCACACAACATTAGGTTTTCCTCTGGATAGCCTTCATAAATCATCAGATTATAATCTCACTATCCAAAGGCTAATTGTATACATATTTTTGAGATAGGATCTTGCTCTCCTGCCCAGGCTGGAGAACAGTGGCATGATTATAGCTCACAGGCTGCACCAATCTTCTTGCTTCAGCTTCCTGATTAGCTGGAACCATAGACATATGCCACTATGCCTGGCTAATTTTTTTTTTTTTTTTTTTTTAGTAGAGATGGAGTCTTGTTGTCTAGGCAGTTTTTAAATTTTGGGGTTCACACCATCCTCCCACCTCAGCTTCTCAGAATGCTGGGTTATAGGTATGAGCCACTGTACTGAGCCTATGGAATAATGTTTAAGCAGTATAGAAAAGTACCTACATTTCTGGTATACAGTAGGTAGCATTTGCTCATCTCTGCAGTCTCCTGTCTCATAATCTCTCTCCACGGCCTCTGCTACCCAACCCCGTTTATGGCCCACTCTACTATTAATTGCTTTGTTAAGCTTCTCTCCCCACTCTGGAAATGAGCACACACTGCTCCCTTTGCTTCTTGGTTTCACTCTCTATGCAGTTAACATTTCGTATCTCAGGAGGCAACAAAGTTGTCTATTCTTTCCAGCTCTCCCTGATATGTCTGGTCTAGGCTAAACTTCTCTGTTCTGTCCTACAACTTCTGTTCTTGCCTAATTCAGTTCTAACAGGTCTATGACAGTGTATTTACTTCTTTTTCTTACACACTGTACACATCTGGGAAATAAACAACACACCTTGTATAACTTTGTGTTCCAAATGCCTAAAGAGGAGACATGTTTGTGAAGGAACAGATATACTATGTATAAACTAAAGCTTTCAAAAGTATAAAATTCTTTTTCTACACAAGATTTTTGAGATTTTTAGAATAGATATTACTTGCAGTTCTATGAATCAAAATCCTATTGACCTAACAGTTATTTTAGAAATTTTCCACCAAAAAGATATAGTATCTCCAAAATACAGTATAAATTTCACATAGCAAGTGCTATGGTTTGAATGTACTGTCTCCCCCCAAATTCATGCTGAAACAATCTCTACTGTGGTGGTATTAGGAGGTGGGGGACTTTGGGAAGTGATTAAGTCACAAAAGCTCTGCCTTCGTGAATGGACTAATACCCTGATATAAGAGGCTTCAGAGAGAGTGCACTCTCTTGACCTTAATCTTTTCCCTCACAAGAAGACACAGCAACCTTCCCCTTGGGAGGATGCAACAAGGGCCTATCTTACAGCACGGAGATGATTCCCACTACACAGCCTTCTGGTGCCTTGATCTTGGCACTCCCAGCCTCCAGAGCTGGGAAAAACAAATTTCTGTTTTTCATAAATTACCCAGTCTTAGGGATTTTGTTATAGCTGTACAAGTGGACTAAGCTAAGATTCTTCAATTTCTTTTTCTTTCTTTTTTTTTTAGAGACAGAGTCTCACTTTATCTCCCTTAGTGGTGGCATCACACAGCTCACAGTAACCTCCATCTCCTGGGCTTAGGCGATTCTCTTGCCTCAGCCTCCCGAGTAGCTGGGACTACAGCCACCTGCCACAACACCCGGCTATTTTTTGTTGCAGATTGGCCAGAGCCAGGTTCAAACCCACCACTCTCAGTATATAGGGCAGATGCCCTAAGCACTGATCCACAGGTACTGCCCTGGTCTTCAATTTCTAATATAGCTTTTATACAGAAAGGGAATGAATAGTACCAATGATCATAACATATTCATTAAAATCACATATATAAAAGACTTAAATAAAATATGCTAAAGTATAATCATTTTTAGATGACTTTTATTTCATTACTACTATGTATATTGTCTTTATAATTTTCAGTACTTTTAAGTAGACATTACTTCTGTAATCAGAAAAAAATATTTAAAAGCTTATATAAGGGAAATAGTTAATTAAGCAATTAATTTTCACATTTTAGGAAGTTCTCCTTGACATTATGGTATTAAAATGTTTAAGCATTGGGCCAGCACATGGGAGGCTGCAGCAGGTGGATTGCCTGAGTTCACAAGGTTTGAGATCAGCCTGAGCCAGAGACCTCACTTAACCTAGAGACCTCACCTCTAAAAATAGCAAGGTGCTGTGGTAGGCACCTGCAGTCCCAGCTACTTGGGAGGCTGAGGCAAGAGAAATTGTTTAAGCCCTGGAGTTTGAAGTTGCTGTGAGCTATGATGCCACAGCACTCTACCAAGGGTGACAAAGTGTGACTCTGTCTCAAAAAATAAAAAAATGTTAAGCATTCACAATGATGTTGACACTGCTCTCATTATTACTGACATCAATCACCTTTTCACACTCAAGCAAAGAACTTTCTGACAACTGCACTGTCTTCTTTTTGTGGGGGAGGGGGAACAGTAGTCCATTACTACCCTGGGTAGAGTGCCATGACATTGCAGCTCACAGCAAACTCTTGGCCTTGAGCAATCCTCTTGCCTCAGCCTCCCGAGCAGCTGGGAATACAGGCAAATTGCACTGTCTTTTAAAAACATCTCTTAAATAAGCTTTTCTTAGATTAAATCTAAAGCTTAGTAACACATCAATGCCTGCATAACAAATATAAATAAAGGCTGAATATATATTAATAACCATGGTGTTACTATGTTTGTGTTTGTTTTTCTGGGTTTGTATCACCATATTACAAATGACAGGAACCTGCATAAGACCCAATTATGTCTACATGCAAGCAGCTCTGATGCTCACAACGAAGCCCTTCTTAATTTAGTGTGAAAAATCAGACTGTGTTGGGGCACCATTTGCATCCGAATGGGACATAAATTTGATCTGCCTGTATAAAAGGGATTTATGAAAACAACAGAATTTAGAGCATAAATTCTTATGAAATAGTCTTTGAACAGTAAAATGCAGGTTAATATCACAGTTTAGTCATGCAAAGCAGCTCAACTGTTGGCAAATGTTTTCTGTAAAGAGCCAGAGAGTAAACATTTCAATTTTAAACCTTGTAGACCAAGAGGAAAAATTCAGGATGTTATATAAGTGCTTATAATGAGAAAAGAAATTTCAACAATATTTTTATTGACTAAGTTAAAAATGTAGTACGAATTGAGAATTTTTTAATAGAGAGTAATATAATGAGAAAAATGAGAATCTTTTCTTGTTGGGGGGGGAGGATACTATTTTGCTCCACTGGAGTTCAAATTTAATATTCCCTACCATCAAAATTAATTACAAATGTTCATCTGGTAATAGCTATCTGTAATGAATTTGCAATTCATCATTGAAAATGTTTTTTCAAACAGGTAGCACAGCTAAAATATCACTGAATAAAGATAATAGTTTGCCATCTAATTCAATAATAAAATAATCCCTACTCCATAGTGTCTTAAAAGTATGATATTAAAAGTCTATTTATCTTGGGCGGTGCCTGTGGCTCAGTGAGTAGGGTGCCAGC